TCTCTGCACTTGGTTCGTTCATTCACTCTCTCTATTTTCTTTCTGCTTGCCTTCTAGTCTTTCACAAGTATGCTTCAAAGCGACACAAAGTAAGTTCTATCTTCCTTCACCTCAATGATCTCTTCTACTTCTACCACTTGTCTCTGTAGTGTTCATAGTCTCCAAAAACAACGAGATGTCTAGCGAACGGTGAAAACAAGAAAGAAGTGGGAAAAAAACCAACCGGCCAACCCAATCAAGCCAGTGGTTTGTTTGGTTTTTACCGGTTTATTACGGTTCATTCCAAGTTGTTCCGGTTTAACTGGAGGCCAGTTTTTAAGCTAAACCAGACCGGACCTCAGACCGATTCACTGGTTTTCCGATTGAACCTTTTGGTCCGGTCCCTTTTTTTCTCCTTGGCTAAGGGGGTGTTTGGATACCCTGAAAAGTGCTTCTCAGAAGCACTTTTTTGCAAATTGAGATAAACTCCTCCACATATTTACCTCGTAGACTGTAAAATCACTTCTGAAACCATGATTTGGTTTCCATCCAAACACCCCCTAAGACTCCACCATTGACCTAAAAAATTGGAAGAATTGCAATTAGGTCCCACCAAAGGAAATTAAATACAAAAAGGTCCTTTGAAATCATGAAATTATTCTAAAGTTTGAAGGGACTTTTTTGTAATAATTTTTATTGGTTTAATTACCAAATTATCCTTCTTCTTTTTTTTAAAGTTTGCATTGACAACTAAAAGAACAGTGATTGAAAATTTAGAGTGCAAGGATTGACAACTATCGCAGCTGTTTGACAACACATTTTCTTAACATATCACACCCTAAGTTGTCAAACCAGCCACGATAGTTGTCAATCGTTGCACCCTAAGTTGTCAATAATTACTCTTTCAATTGTCAATGCAAACTTTAAAAAAAAGTAATTTGGTAATTAAATAAATAAAATTTATTGCAAATAAGTCCATTAGGACTGTAGAATAATTTCATGATTTCAAGGGACCTTTTTGTATTTAATTCTCTTGGGTGAGACTTAATTTTAATTTTTCTTAAAAAATTTTCACCAAGACTCCACTATTACCTCCCAATATTATTGCAATTCCCTCTCCCTCTCCACCATCACCAATAACAATTTCCCATGCATGACTAATATTTTAATTTTTCCCCCAAAAAAAATTAATGAATTTAAATATATTTTCTGTCATCGTCATTTTCTGTGAGAAAACTGGACTCCATAATAAATTTTTGTCGAATAAATTAATACTATCATGTTTGACATTGTTGAGCTCTAAATGGAACATCTTGCGAATAGTGCCTCTAATTGTAACTATCATCGATAAATGTCCTAATTATTTTAGAGCTTGTTCCATATGGACCATCTAGATGAGATCTAGATGGTCCAGATTTAATTTCTTATTTTTTAAATAATTATTTTAATGGGTATGGAATCTAAAATAAAAATAATATCTTAATTATAAATTTTTTAAAAGATAATTTGTGTTATCTAAAAGTAATTAATCAAAAAAGATTAAATCTAGATCATTCAGATGATATCTGAATAGTCAAAAAGAGATGAGCTAAAAATGAGCACCCAAACTGGTTCCCTAAATTATGATATGTTAGGTAAAAAATTAAATGTATCAATACTAGAATCAGATTTGTATTTATGTAGTTACTTCCTCCCGTTCAAAATTTAAGAAGTACTATTCTAGAAGAAAATTTTAGTAAAAAAATATAAAAATTCATAGAGTAATTAATAATAGTTTTTCACATTTACCCCTTATTAAGGAGGGAGGAGAGAATTTTCCAATCATATTCTTTAATAAAAATAAAATTCAGTCTAGACCATCTAAATCATATCTAAACAGTCTATATGAGATGAGTTTTGGGTGCTCATCTTAAAGAGGAGATAAGATGAGCATCCAAACTGGTTTCTCGCATGAGGCTATTCATAGTATAACGGAGGGTAGTAATGAGCAGTGAGGCTATTCATCTGATAACGGAGGGCAATAATGAGTAGCCTGATGATTGGTCGCTTATATCTAAATGTCAGAATACGCTTCCAAGGGAATGGCAAGTGGAAACAGTGCCACGCAGAAGGGAGGATGACTCTGCAGCAGATTTCCTTGCCAAGCCTGCTTTGGATGCTCCTCCGGGGCTACAATTTGTTCCAATAAATGCTTCTTTTTCTTTTCCTTTTTTTTTTTTTGAAAGAGAGTCTAAGTGGTTTAGCTCTTGGGAGTTGTCAGGCCAGTACATGCCTACAAACTTGGAAAGATCGATCATAAGTTACCTTTTCATTTTTCCACCATCTAAGTAAACTATAAATCCGGGAATGAGCAGTTCTCATTCAAACATTTGACCAAAGTTTGATTATCACATTCAAATTACATAAACATACTGCTTCCTTTTCGGGAGCTTCCACTTGATTGCTTTCTTCTTGTCAAGGCATGTATTTGTATAGCCTGAATCAGCACTAAGGCTCCGCCATTGGCCTTCCAATATTCTTGCAATTCTCTCTCTCACTCACGCTGCTTCCACAAGTTTATCTGATTGCAAAACAATAACGCAGAACATTCGTTGAAACCTCAGAATAGAGACCACGAAACTTCAGTTGGCAAAAAAGAGACTAGGAAATCTCAGCCTTGCACTTTCGGCCTAAAAGAGAAACTCGTAGAAATATTTTATTCATGTTCTCTGGCTTTATATAGCCACTCCACTCATCTACCCACTCAACCACTCCAAACACTTTACTCTTTCTTGTTCAACTACTCCCATAAATTCATCTGAAGAAGTAGCATCAAGAGTATCTATTTCATAGCGGATAACTATTAGGATATTTTTAGTACAAAAATACTTTTACAGTATATAAGAGCAAAAAGAAAACTTTTAGATGCTGAATGCTTTTTCATGGATACTTTCGAGATATTTAAACACCTTATTCCATATACAGTACCAAAAAAATTATTTTTAACATAAGCCAAATATAGTATTTTGCATTAGTGTATATATACACTCACTCAAGAAAGGACGAAGGAATTGGACAAAAAAAATAAATTGAATAAAAATATATACACAGGGACAAGGAAAAGGACGAGGGACCCTGCGGGTCTTGGTGGATTCGCACAAATCATTGGCGGAAAGTTGGTGGGGTTTTGAAAAAATAGAATAAAATAATATATGCACAAACACCCGCGCACATCAAAGAAGACGAGCACTGATCTGGGAGTTGGGACCAATAGAAAGATCACGAGAGAGTAAATAAAATATACAAAAAACTTACCTCTAATCGTAAATATTATATTTAATTAATTAATTTGAGTATATTAAAAAAATTAATTAAATTAGTTATTTGTAATAACTAGGTATTGTCTTTTCTAAAATATCCTTATTAAACGTACTTATTACTGAGGGCATTCTAGCATATGCAATTATTATGAAGAATACTTTGAGAAAGTCAAATTAGTATCTATATTAAAAATCGGAGTTAGTATAAAAAATTTGCACCAAGACTCCACCGTTGACCTAAAAAATTTTCACTAAGACTCCACCACTGACCTGCCAATATTACTGCAATTCTCTCTCAGTCTCTTACACTGCTTCCACAAGTTTATATGAAGAAGTAGTTGCAAAACAATAACGCAGAACATTCGTTGAAACCCGGCGAGACTAGGAAAGGAAACTTCAGCCTCCACGCTGCACTTTCGGCAAAAAAGAGAAACGCGTGCGCAGAAATATTTTATTCATGTTCTCTCTCTTTATATACCCACTCCTCTCATCAACCCTCTCACTCTCAACTACTTCATGCACTTTACGCTTTCTTGTTGCTCTCTCTCCCTCACTCATACTACTTCCACAAATTCATTTGAAGAGTTAGCATTAAAGGGCATCTGTTTCACCATTTTACAGAGTTACCTCTATGGCTACTTTTAAGGTACTTATAATACTACATCCTTACAAAATAAGCCCATATCATCATTTTTTTATATTTTATGCATCATTTTTCGGTTTGCTGGAGTTTTCTGTCGTCTTGCTATATATCCATATCGCTGCTGGGAAGAACCCATGATTTCTCTTTTTACTTGGTTTTGCTCATACTTTTGTTCTTGTTCAAACATTTGGCCGCTACCTCAATTTCAAGTTAAAAACGTAAAAGCTGTGGTGCTTTGCCAGTCTCAACCGAAAATGCAAATGTTAATTAGAACGGATTATGTGAACTATACTGCCCCCACCTGGACAATATTTCTGCTAGAAACTTCACAATTTTTGGATCTAAATGCAAAGCAAACCCACAATAATGTTATGAGATTGGCTACAAATATGATGAATCTGATTGTTGTTCTTTAGTGCTGAATCAACTCCTATATGGTTATTGGTCTCTAAGTACTGAGGCTTTGTTGTTTCTTAAGGTAGATTTTTATTAGATGTTTGATACACTTTAGCCCTTAAGAATTGTTCCTTTAGATTTGCGTCTGATCTTAGATTGATAATTTTATGAACACTTTTGTATGGTAATATCTTATATTCTTCTGCCCAATGTCGTGACATATGGATAACATCTGATGGGGTATAAGTGTAGTTAAATTATGGTTTATAGTGTTTCATTTGACAATTACTTATTTGCTTGACTACAACAGTTCCTAATTTTATTTTTCTCGATGTGGATAACAAATTTTATGTTTTTTTTCTCAGATATGATTTTTTTAAAATTATTATTCAAACAGATTTTTTTCTCTTAATTCCCCATAAAAATTATTTTAAAGAACCATTTTATAAAATTGTTTCGGAAAACAAAAAAACATAAAGAAACATGCCAACGTCCATTACTTATTTATAGTAGGAAGAAGCCCAATTTCATCTTAGAATTATATTCCATCTACTTTCATATATGGTTGTTGGTCAAGGCTGACTTAATTTTATTTGATAATGCTAGCAAAGATTGAAGCCACCAAAATCACATAAGCGGAACCTATTTATGATCTCAACAACCATACAATTTCAATGATAGCCATGCAACCTGAATTTCACAAAGCTGCAATGAAAGGTAACATTGATGTCTTTAAATGAAGGGCGAGCAAATTAAGTCCATACTAACCCCCAGTAAAAATACAATCCTTCATCTACACTTCACAAACTATACTAACAATGTATCAGAGACATTTGTGATAGAGGCTCTAGGTGAGTGTCCTACACTTGTTTTAAAGGCCAATGTGAAGGATGAAACCATACTTCATGTAGCAGCAAGGTATGGACACCATCAAATAGTGAAAACATTAGTCGATTTTGCTAAAGCTTTTCCTAAACATATGGATGAAGTTGGAGCCGAGAAAAGACTTATAAGAGCGGTAAATGATAAGAAAGACACAGCCTTGCATGAAGCAGCTCGTTATGTTATGTGGAAGTTGTGGATGTCTTGATAAATGAAGAGCTAGATCACTCATATTTTGGTAAAAATATTGGAGACGAAACTCCACTTTATATTGCTGTTGAGAGACGGTATTGGAATGTGGTGAATACAATATTGGATAAAAGCAATTCACCACAATATAATGGTCCTAACGGCAGAACTGCTTTGCATGCCGCAATTCTTCATTGTAGCAAAGGTATTTTTATTGTATGATTTTGCCATTTCTCTCTGTTTTTTTTTCCTAAACTTAGAATATCCTCAAGTCACTTTAAACTTGAGATTAATGTTTGTCGAACTGAGAGTGTTAAGGTTAAAGTCCTCCCAACACATACACTTCCTAGGATTTAAACTTATATTCTCCTCCTTATAGGGGTGATACCGCTTACAATCTTAACTAGCAACTTGTTTGTTGCCATTTCTCGTTTGTAATCATCAAATTTTGATTTGTAAATCTAAAGCAACAGCTCATATATACCTTTTGAAATAATTTATCAGAATTGTTGTAGTCACTAAGTAATAAATTTCCATACAAATTACTAACAAGTTGTTGGTTAAGATAGTAAGTGATCTCATCCCAAAAAGGAAGAGAACACGAGTTTGAATCCTGAGAAGTCCACTTGTTGGAGGGCTTTAATCTTAATGCTCCTTGCCTGACAGAGATTAGTCTTAAGTCTAAAGGAACTTGAGAATATTTTGAGTTTATCTATATATATATAAGGATACATACAAATTAAGGTTTAATAGCTATGTTTTTAATTTGATGTTATTTATCACAGAAGAAGTAGTGTCAAAGTTGTTGGCAAAAAACTCATCAGCGGCAAAAGAAGCAGATGAAAATGGTTGGGTGCCACTTCACTTAGCGGCACTTTATACAAACTCAGATATGATAAGGGTGTTGCTAGAGAATGACAGAAGCACAGCATACATGAGAGATAAGAAGAGAAGGACGGCTCTTCACTTTGCAGCACTTCGTGAAGATTCATCTGTAATGAGAAAGATATTAGAATATTGTCCAGATTGTTGTGAATTGGTGGATGAAAAGGGCTCTAATGCTCTTCACTACACTGCAATGAGAGAAGACAATTACCTTTCCGGAGGACTAGAACAGATCATGCAAGATGCACCACAAATAAGCAACTTGTGCAATGAGAAAGATGATGATGGAAACACACCTCTTCACCTCCTTGGCCGTCATGCTCCCAAATGGAAAAAGGATGCCAATCATTATGATCATCCTCTTCTGGAACCGCTTCCAAGAGTGGACAAAATGGCATTCAATAAATACAATCAAACTGCTCTCGATATTGCTATTGATGCTGTGCGTCCACATTTAGCTTCTAAGGTAACAGTATATGAATTCATTCATTTATTTTGATACTCCAAATCTATCTTTTTGCTAAATAGCATGGTACGGACGCATATATGTTGATTATGACCTCGTTTGGAATGACACTTGAAATTATTTATAAACGATTTTCACGTAAGCTAAGACAAGACTCTCTCACATTCGTATATCTTATATTTCATAAATCACAATTGAAAAGTTTCTTATAAGCTATTCCAAATATGTCCTATTTGAAGTTGTTGGTAGGCTGAATCTGGTCAGAAACAAAGACGACAATACACTACTAGAAAAAACACTTTTAACGTCGCAAAATAACGGCGGTTAAGCAAAAAAACGACGTGGAAAAAAAGGCGGTGGTATTTTTGTAAATAAGTCGAAGAGGCTCTCACTTTCCACGGCGATTTTCCTAATAACCGCCGTGGAAAGTGAGTCACTTTACCTTCTCCGCTTTGACTTTCCGTCTCTTTCGTTTTCATTTCTTCAGTGCGCCGTGGTCCCCCTCTGTCCCACCACCAAGAAACTGCCATTACCGGCCATTCCCGCTACTACCCCACCGTTTAAACTTCTCCATTGTGCTTGTGGTGCCTTGCCGCCGTCCGCCGCCATCCGCCGTGGTTCGAACGCCCCTCATTGTGCATCATTCTTGCTCGGTCGTGGTCCCCTCTGTCCCACCACCGAAAACCGGCCATACCCCCCACTATCCCGCTGTTTAAACTCCTCCATTGAGGTTATGGTGCGCCGTCCGTCGTCCGTCGCCGTCCGAACGCCCTCATTTCGCATTTGAATCTTCTCTGCTCTGTGAGTATCCCCTTCTTTCATTCTTTTCAATTTTTCTTGGTTTGTTGAATGTTTTGGCAATGAAAATCTGTTATATATGAAATGTGTTTGTTAGTTTTACATTGTAGTTGGCTTATATTGTTCATTTTGCATTTTTTATGTGGTTGAACCGTTGATTGGTGTTGATTGGTGGGCATTGGATGTGAGAAAACCTTAATTCCTTCTTATATACTGTATTAGAAACATGTTTAAATGTTTGGAGTTAATTAATTGTGAAGTTTTTAAATTTTTTAATAATTTTTTGATATTTATTTCGAATTTTTGGTAATATTTTGGTAATAAATATAAGAATTTAGTAATAAATAATCTGTTTGTTATTTGGTGTTTTTTTTCTTTGATATTGATAGTAAAGTGTTGTTTAAATAATCTGTAGAACAATGGATCGTAGTTGGATGTAAGCTAAGAGAATTAGCAAGGAATATGAGGATGGGGTTGAAAATTTTCTTGAGTTTGCTCAGAGAAATGCCCCTAGTAAAAGAGATGGATTGTACTATTGTCTTTGTGTCAAATGTTTAAACAATAGTCGACGGAGTATTTTTGAGATAAAAGAGCATCTTATCTGTGATGGGATAAATTTGAGGTATACAAATTGGATATGGCATGGAGAAATTAGAAAGACTACACTGTCTGCAAATGAGAAGGTTGTGAATGAAGACTTTGGTGATAGAATTTCGGATATGTTTCGTGATATAAGGTCTGAATCCTCTACACAGTTCTCTTCTACCTTTGGAACTTTGTGTAGTGATGCAGAGACACCTTTATACCTGGGGTGCAAAGATGATTACACAAGGTTGACAACCATATTGAAACTGATGAATTTGAAGGCAAGAAATGGTTGGACCGATGCTAGTTTTACGGAATTGCTTGAATTGTTGAGTGATATTCTTCCCAAAGGGAATTCACTTCCGAAACGAATGTATGAGGCAAAAAAGATTTTGTGTCCGATGGGTTTGGAATATGAGAAGATACATGTGTGTCCTAATGACTGCATATTATTCAGAAATGATTATGAAGGGTTGAATAAGTGCCCTAAATGTGAGACTTCAAGATACAAAATGAAGAAAGATGATGGTGATTATAATGAGATGACCAAAGGTTCTCCTTTAAAGGTTCTATGGTATCTTCTAATAATACCACGATTTAAGCGTCTATTTGCTAATGCCACAGATGCAAAGAACTTGAGATGGCATTTCGATGAGAAAATATGTGATGGAAAGCTTCGTCACCCGGCGGATTCTTCTCAATGGAAAACAATAAATCAAAAATTTCCTCAATTTGGTGGCGAGCCAAGAAACCTTCGGCTAGGGCTTTGTATGGATGGAATTAACCCGTATGGTAATCTTAGTAGCACACACAGTGCTTGGCCAGTGCTTCTTGTAATTTACAATTTGCCTCCTTGGTTATGTATGAAAAGAAAGTATATCATGCTATCTTTGATGATCTCGGGGCCAAAACAACCGGGAAACGATATCGATGTGTATTTGGCACCTTTGATTGAGGATCTAAAGACATTATGGGAGGAAGGTGTTGATGTGTTTGATGCATATAAACAAGAGACCTTCAATTTACGTGCCATGATCTTCACCACGATAAATGACTTTCCAGCATATGGAAATTTGTCAGGATACAGTGTTAAGGGACATAAAGCATGCCCGATATGTGAAGAAGGCACCCACTATATGCAACTTAAACATGGCAGGAAGACAGTATATCTTGGTCACAGAAGGTTTCTTAGTCGGTATCACCCTTACCGTAGATTGAAAAAGGCATTTAATAGCTCACAAGAATATGAAATGGCTCCAAGACCATTAACTGGAGAAGAAGTTTATCAGCGGGTGGAGGGAATTAATGTGATCTTTAGTAAGAAGAAGAAGAAGAAGACTACCGGTGAGAGGAATATATAGAAAAAAAGATCTATCTTTTTTTATCTTCCATATTGGCAGAGTCTTGATGTGAGGCATAGTCTAGATGTGATGCATGTGGAGAAGAATGTGTGTGAGAGTCTTGGTGGTACACTTTTACATATAAGTGGAAAGACTAAGGATAGAATCAATGCAAGACATGACTTGGCTGAAATTGGAATAAGAAAACTCCTCTACCCACAAGAAAGAGAGGGTAAACATCCAGCTGCGCACACATTATCAAAAGCAGAGAGAACAAGTTTTTGTGGTTTTATTAATAACCTTAAGGTGCCACAAGGTTATTCTTCAAATTTGAACAAACTTGTTTCAATGCATGATTTGAAGATAACGGGGATGAAGTCTCATGATTGTCACGTGTTGATGCAATAATTACTTCCACTTGCTATTCGAGGCATTATGAAAACCGATGTGAGAAGTACTATTACAAGACTTTGTATGTTTTTTAGCACTATTTGTAGCAAAGTCATTGATCCTGCTGAGTTAGATGAATTAGAAAATGAAGGTTATGTAATCCTCTCCCAATTGGAAATGCACTTTCCTCCCTCATTTTTTGATATTATGGTCCATTTGATAGCTCACCTTGTACGAGAGTTAAGACTTTGCGGCCCTGTGTGTTTAAGGTGGATGTACCCATTTGAGAGATACATGAAAATTCTAAAAGGGTACTCTAAGAATCCTTATCGGCCTGAGGCATCAATTGTTTATAGCTGAAGAGGCAGTTGAGTTCTGCAATGCATATCTTGATAAGGTAAAGACAGTTGGACTTCCTCAATCTCGGCATGATCAGGGGAGAAGCAAGGGAACACGGGGTGTCATAGTGAGGTCTATGTCAAGAGATGTTGTAATGCAGGCACATCTATATATTTTAAACAACACGGATGAAGTTTTGCCTTACTTGAATGCTCACAAGAATATGTTGAAGAACTTGAATCCAAGAAAGAACGATATGCAACTAGCCAACGAGCATAACAAGTCATTTGCCGAGTGGTTCAAGCAACAAGTGTTAAAGGATGGTAATCCTTCTAAAACAATACAGAGACTAGCTGCAGGGCCTCGTTTTGAGGTTGTGTGTTGGGGCGGATATGACATAAATGGTTATTCATTTTATACAAAAACCCAAGATGATAAGAGTACCATGCAGAACAGTGGGGTGATGTAGTAGCTGAAGCAATGCATTTTGCTAGTTCAAAAGATAGAAACCCAATGTTAGCGTCAATGTCCTATTATGGAGTAATAGAAGAGATATGGGAGGTTAGCTATACCAAATTTAAAGTTCCCGTCTTCAAATGTAAGTGGGTTAATAATAGTGCTGTGCAAGTTGATGAAGAATTTGGTTTTGTTTCAGTCGATCTTGAGAGGATTGGATATGGAGATAAGCCATTTATTTTGGCAAATCAAGCAAAACAAGTGTTTTATGTTACCGATCTAGCAAAAAAGAAATTATCTATTGTGCTCCAAGGTAAGAGGCAAGGAGTTGGTGGAGATGACGCTGACTCAGAGGTCAATCTTGACGAAATCCTGCCTTTCACAGTTACTCGACCTAAAATTACTGAATTAGATTTGGTAGATGATGACTATGCAGTTAGGGATGATCATTGTGAAGGAATTTGGGAGGATAATCGTTGTAAGACCTAAAATTTGTGATTTTTTTTAAATATACTTGATGTTTTATACGGGACTTATTCTAATATTTATTGCTTGTTTGTTGAACAGAAATGGATGGATCTAATCAACAGGGTTCTGGAGATGACAACTCCTTCCATAGAGCGAAAAGAGGTAGAGGGCCAACCCGTATGAAGAAGTTGGCCTTACGTGATGAGAACACACAGCCCCGAGGATTGTAGTACACTTTGACGTTGATTTGAAACCTATAGGTCCTGAAGGGGCTAAATTTACTAGTTACGTGGGCTATCTCGGACGTAGTAAGATTGGGATTGACATTCTTAATTGGAAGATGGTAGATAAAAACTTAAAACAAAAAATTTGGGAGGATATTTTGGTACGTTACAAATTCTTTTCTTAATTTATTAGTATTAATTATAATTGATTATTTGCTTATAACTCTATTGTATTATATTGCAGCTGACATTTGATATTCCCGCAACTGAAGAAATGAGAGACCGTTTGTATAAGCAACTCGATGACCAGTGGAGGGATTTTAAATCCATGCTTACAAGAGAGTATCTTCGTGGAAAAAGAACGGGCGAGCATCCTCAAGAACGATACTCTTTTATTAGTGACGAGGCATGGGAGAGGTTTGTGCAGCAACGTCAAGACCCTGCATTTCAGGTTTGGTTTCTTCAAACTTAGTTTTTTATCAATTTATATTATATTTAACTAAACTAACTTTGTTAAGTTTTTATTGTCATAGGCACTAAGTAGGAAGAACAAGCAAATATCTGAGCTGAATGTGTACCCACATACCATGTCTCGTGCAGGGTATGGTGGGTTGGAAAGAATCATGATGGAGGAGCGGCAAAAGAGTGCAGAAATGGCTGCTGCTTCAGATCCTACTGGAGTCATTCCACCTATCGACCGTCCTTCTCGCCAAGAAAAATGGAAGGCGGCGAGGATTAAAAAGGGTCAATATCTCACTCCAGAGGCTGCTATTGTTGCTGAGAAAATTGTAAGTAATATTAGCATTATGCTTCATTAATTGTTTTTTTAATTATGTTAAATTGAAATTGTTATTTTAATGTTACAGGATACACTTGAGGAGCAATTATCCCAAGGTACATTTGTTCCTCATGGGCGGATGGACATCTTGGCCACTGCCATTGGAAAGGCTGACCATCCCGGCAGAGTCAGAGGGGCCCCTAAAGGAATTGGCATCAAACAATTTTTTGGTCCTGGTTCTCGAAAAAGTACTGGATCATCCTCCGCTGACATGGTATCTAAAGAGGAACTCGATCGACGATTACAAGAAGAAACAGAAAGAGTTCGAGTTCAACTCAGTGAAGAACACAAGGCAGAGATGCAAAAGATGTGTGAGGAGTTTGATGCCAAGTTTGCAATGATGATGGGCACGACCGGATTCCAGATGCCTCGAGTGTCTGAGCCGTCACAGGTAATAAAGGTTCATTTCGTCAATTTAAACTTATATAATGTGCCTTAAGTAATTTCTTCTTATATTTCAGGGTTCACCTATGATGAAAAGTGGGAAGGGTAGTAATAATCAGACACAACAGCTGACATTATCTGACCCTGACCCTAGCCCTGACCCTGTCCAAGACAATGGAACACCGTGTTCTCTCTATGTCGACGTTAATGGAGATTCGACATTTCATGTTGCTAATGGCCGAGTATTCTCGGCTCAACCATCCACGGGAAGAAAGTTCCAGTAGATCAATCGAGGGTGACGGTAGATAAAATCCGTAGCGGTCAAGGTGATACACCAGTGCCCATCCCTACTGATGAGGTTCGCCTACTGGTTCAGGCTAAAGGAAATTTCATTCTGTGGCCAAAACGACTTATTGGAAAGCCTGCACCATCGAAGAAGGCGACATCAAAGAAGGCGACAACAAAGAAGACGGCAAGTAGCACTTCAGAACCTGTCCTGCTGCCTCTTCCTGCTGATATAGGGGTTATGTATGGGAGTTTGGAGCTTCTTCATAGCATGGTAACAAATATGGAAAACTCTCTTACTTATAATATGCCGCCGGGAATTGTGGGTTCAGATGTCACATACCAGTTCACTATTGACAAGAAGGACCTCATTCAGTTCCTGAACTTTGAGGAGTTAGATATAGTCTTTATGCAGCTGGCTATTTTGTAAGTTACAATAACTAAACTAATTTTTTTATATTTTACTTATGCATATTCTAATATTTCTTATTTGAACAACAGGCATTTTGTTGGAGTCTGTAGGCAGGCAGGACTTGAGGACACATGGCTTTATGTGTCCTCAAAAGGTACAAAAAATAGCCAATACTGTGGAAGCCAGGTCGATCTACATGATGACCGCAATGACTCAGTTGAAAAAGAAAATATATTTTGTACCTTACGTGGAAAAGTAAGTATATTATTATATTTGAGATACACTTGTTATATATGTAGGATTATAATTAACATGGTTCGTATTTTGCAGTTATCATTGGACACTAATTGTTTGCGCCCCTTTTGATAACAAAGTCTACTGGTTCGATTCCCTTTGTGGAAGTCCAACCGAAGAAACCAAAGATGTCATTGACACGTTAGTTTTATGTCTATATATTTATTACATATAAAGTTTATAAAAATGTGTTCTAATGTTCTAATATTCATGTTCATAGGGCTTTTCACACTTTCAATTTTATGACCAGGCATCAAAATATGCAACCACCAACATGTTTCTCCCACAAGTATGTTGTTTTGAGCTAAATATGTAGTTATAAATCTTTTCAATCATCAAATTAGATAATGCTTATAAATTTTTTATTTTTTCAGTATCGTTGTTAATCTTGGAAAGTTGAATGCGGATATTATGTCATCTGTTATATCAATGACATTATTGAGACAGAGGTAACTGAAAAATTGCACGAGGTAATTAAATATAACTTATGTTGCATGTAATTCTGCTCATTTTTCCACGTTTTTAATCAAGTTGACTAATGAATCCATTTTTGATTTACAGGCATTCGAAAATGTTATGCCATATAACATGGATGAGATCAACTTGATAAGAGACTCTTTGTCAACCACGTTGTTAGAAAATCTTTAAAATGTCAAGTACTAAGGTCTCTTAGCTTCCTCATGTAGTGGTTCATTTTTTGATTGTTAAACTATAGTTGATGTTCATATATGGTAATATTCAAATAGTTTTGTTGAGATAATGCTTGGTGTTCATCTGGTAATCTTCAAATGGTGCTGCATAAATGTCTACCGATTTGGGTAGGGAGGTGGTAAAATATAAATAGACGAATGAAAAAAAAAAACATTTAACGGCGGTTTTATGGAAAACTGCCGTTAAATATAATTTCCACGGCGGTTCTATCTTAAAACCGCCGTGGAAAATAATTTACAATGGCGGTTTATTAGTGAAAAAATTGATTTTCCACGGCGGTTTTAATATAGAACCGCCGTGGAAAGTTTATTTTCAACGGCAATTTTCCATAAAACCGCCGTTGAAAATAAACTTTCCACGACGGTTAATAACCCCGTTGAAAATAAACTTTCCACGACGGTTAATAACCGCCGTGTTTTCTTATACTTTCAACGTCGACTCTTTTTACTCTACCTCCAAAACCACCGTTAAAAGCCTCAATTAACCGCCGTTAAAAGCCATTTTTCTAGCAATGATACCTTACATGTTAGCTACGTGGTGCAGAACACAATGTTAATGAAATTGATAATTATTGGAGTAGTAAAGTCAGGAAGACGAGTTCTGGATAAGCACCTTAGAGAGAAGAAACATGATTTTGCCCCTCGTGAAGAGAAGAAACAATATAAGGAAAATAATAGTGAAGATGATTCAACTGAAAGGGCAAGAAGTTCCTCAGTAGTGGCAACTTTAATCGTAGCAGTAACATTTGCAGCAGGATTCACGGTGCCTGAGATCCAAGATGGAGAAGATAAGGGCTCCCCCATATTAAAGGCAAATGCCGCTTTCACTGTGTCTTTTTATAGCAAACAGTCTCTTCGTTCTTTTGCTCTACTGTAGCTGTTGGTGCCCTATTTTCGTTGCCACTTGCAAGATATAGTAAGTCAATGCTGCTGCAATGTTGTGAGATCTTAATTTGGATGGCATTATTTTTCATGATGGTTGCATTTATAACGGGCACCTATTCTATGACGGGTCCCTATCTTTTAGCTGCTATCTACATCTCTATCATGGCTGTTGCAGCTGTCATTTTCTATTGTGCACCTTACAGAATCGATAGGTCTGAAGTGAGAAGCAAAAAGAGTTGGTATAATCGATTGTACTTTGTTCCTGATTACCGTTTTGAGAGAGCAAAAGAAGTTCAGCTCTCACATACTCTCTAGTCATTGTACTTAGATGGGATGAAATCTGAGACGCTCTTTATTTATTTTATCCTAATTTTTTCTTTCTTTTTAATTTTGTCATAAAAATAGGGAGGCATCATTGCTGTACAACCCCAACTCACAAACAACATAAAGATATGTTGCATCCATAAATTACAATTAGTCCATACAATCTAATATGTTTAATTTGAAAGACAGTTTTGGGAGATATATTATGAATTAAAACACAATTTTATATATAGCCTGCTTAATACTAAGCATATTCAGTTTTGGCAACATTTAGCATGTAGGTCCCACAATGAAATTATTTTTAGAAAAGTCAAATACTGGTTCAAAGTTCAAACCTTGCACTACTCAAATATGGAAATGAAACCATACTATCAGTGACTATTATATGAACAAAGAGAAGAAAATATTACTGGGCCAAGGCTCGTATGACACCCAATAATGCAAGAAATTAACAAAAATAATAGGCCCAAAATGAAGTGGGCTGAAAACCAAAAACATAACATCCCTTCGTGGTATTAAAAATCAGACCAAACTGGTCGGTACAGGCATGAAACTAGCGAACCAGCCACTTGTGCGGTCTGATTTTTATATTAAATCAGAATAAATCTGAACTGGAGCGAACCATTTTGTATATAAACCGGCCTAACACACTGGGTTGAATGGGTTGCTCGAGTTATATTTTTTGTCCTCCCAACTAGGCACAACGCCATTATTAAAAAAAAAAAAAAAAGGAACTTGCAAGAAGACTCAGAGAGAGAGAGTGAGAGAAACGTTATAAGAAAGAACAAATCTTAAAAAGATAAACAAAAATAATATAAAAAATTACC